GCTGCTATAACAGAAATACCACAGCTGGATGGCTTTAACAAACAGAAGTTTATTTTCTCACAGTTTAGGAGGCTAGAAGTCCGAATTCAGGACGCCAGCTTTAGGGGAAGGCTTTCTCTCTCTGTTGGTTCTTGGGAAAGATCCTTGTCATCAATCTTCCCCTGGTCTAGGAGCTTCTCAGTGCAGGGATCTGGGTCCAAAGGACATCCTCTACTCCTGGCACTACTTACTTGGTGGTAGGAGGTCCCTCTCCTCTCTGCTGTATTCTCTCTCTTATATCTCAAAAGAGATTGACTCAAGCACAACCTAACTGTGTAGATTGAGTCCTGCCTTATTAACATAACTGTCTCTAATCCTGCCTCATTAACATCATAGAGGTTAGGATTTACAACACATAGGATAATCACATCAGATCACAAAAGGTTGGACAACCACACAATACTGGGAACCATGGCCTAGCCAAGTTGATATGAATTTTGGATGGACACAATTCAATCCATAACATTCCACCATTTGGTCCCCTCAAATTCGTGTCCTTGCCACATGTAAAACACATTCACCCCATCATGTCATCCAAAAAATCTTAAATCAACTCCAAGCCAAAATCTCATCTTCTGCAAAATTCCTCTTCATGTTTGAAATCTAAAATACAAGTTATCTGCTTCCAAAGTACAATGGTGGAACAGGAACAAGCTAGACATTTCCATTATAAGTGGGAGAAATTAGAGGGAAAGAAGGGATAACAAGTACCAAGCAAGTCAGCAGAACACATTACATTAGCTCTCAAGGGCTGAAAATAATCGTCTGTTCTCTAAGATCATTTATGCAATGGCCTTGCCATCCAGACTCTGGGCGTTGGCCACACTGTCCGGATTCTGGGTGGATGCTCCTCAGCCTTGGGCTTCGGCTCCACCTTCCAGGCCCACCTGAAAAGCAACTCTGCTCTCTTGCATTTGGGCGGCCCCATTCTCCTAGTTCAGCTGAGTGGAGACCCTAGCCCTTTGACTCTGGTAGGCCCTGTTCTTCTATCCCTTTAGCATGGCAGACCCACCCGCCGCCCAGCTTTGGGGAACAGATCTGGCCCCTTCCTGCTGGCACTGGTGAAAGGCAGCCCCACACTCTGGAACCGAGTCGGTGAAGAACTGACTCTTTGAAACCTAGGAGGCTGTGGTCCCACCGTTTGAGACCCAGCAGGCCGTGGTTCCACCTTTTGAGACCCCAGAGGTAGTGGTCCTACCCTTTGAGACTGAGGCAGCTCTGCTTCCCATGCTCTTTGTTTCTTCAGCTTCTGCTTCCTGGTTCCTTGGCCTCTTGGCCCCTTGGGCCCTTGGGCCGGCCCAGGGCCTGCCCTGCTCAGGCAAGTGTTTCAAAGCTCTTTAGCTCTACTGATAAGTACCTGGAGGCACCCTACTCTGCCAGTAAACCCTGGCTGGAAGCACTCAGCTCTCTTGCTCCCTGGGTCGGCAAGCCTAGCTCCACTGATAAGCGCCTGGAGGCACCCCACTCCTCCAGGAAGCGTCCTGTGCGAAGGCACTCAGCTGTCTTGCTCTGCTCCCTGGTTGGGCTCCCATGCCATCTCACGCTGGTCTCCTAGTTCTGCTGCTGCCGTTTCTCTGCTGCTACTTCTCGCCATCTGTGCCATCTCCAGTGCTATAGTTCTCCTCACTTTCTTCTGAATCCTCCCCAGAATTGTCTTTGATGTTCATAATTCCACCAACAGTCTCTTCGAGACAATCTAGGCTTTTATTATTAGGCGCTTTAAAACTCTTCCAGCTTCTACACATTACTCAATTCCAAAACCACTTCCACACTGTAGGTATCTGTTAGAGCAGCAACTCCTGGTACCAAATTCTATCTTTGTTATCCAGTGCTGCTATAACAGAAATACCACAGCTGGATGGCTTTAACAAACAGAAGTTTATTTTCTCACAGTTGAAGAGGCTAGAAGTCCGAAGTCAGGGCACCAGCTTCAGGGGAAGGCTTTCTCTCTCTGTAAGTTCTGGGGACGATCCTTGTCATCAATCTTCCCCCTGGTCTAGGAGCTTCTCAGGGCAGGGATCCTGGGTCCAAAGGACGTCCTCTACTCCTGGCACTACTTTCTTGGTGGTAGGAGGTCCCTCTCCTCTCTGCTGTATTCTCTCTCTTATATCTCAAAAGAGATTGACTCAAGCACAATCTAATTGTGTAGATTGAGTCCTGCCTCATTAACATAACTGCCTCTAATCCTGCCTCATTAACATCATAGAGGTTAGGATTTACAATACATAGGATAATCACATCAGATCACAAAAGGCTGGACAACCACACAATACTGGGAACCACGGCCTAGCCAAGTTGATATGAACTTTGGGGGGACACAATTCAATCCATAACAAATGGTGAACCTCTGCCTGGCATTGGAGCCCCACTCACACCTCCCGTTTTTGTCCATACATGCTGAGCAAGAGCATTTCTCCTCCCTGTCTGGCAAATGTTCACTGCTGCTGAGGCTTCTGTGCCTCCGCTTGGATGCCAGCTACCTTTGCTCTTGGCCCCTCCTCCAGGAAGCCCTCCCAGATCAATCAAGTCTCTTGAACCAAGCCAGTTTCTGAGGTCAGTCCCTTGCTGAGGGTTTTGGCCTTTCTCCCCACGGAACAGCAAAGGTCTACCGGGGTGGACTGCGGGAGGGCCAGTGGACTATGAGGTGGGGGTTAGAGAAGCTTCCTGGAGGAGGAAGGCCCTCACAGAGAGAACCAGCTTGACATCAAATGTCCTGAGTCTGCTCTTGTGGAGGCCATAGGTTCAGACCAGCTCTGACTCATTCCTGCCTTGCCTGGCCTGGCTACAGGCTGGCCAGAGGGCCTGCTCAGACACCTTGCCAACAGATGGCCCTGCAAAGAATGACATCTGTTTAGGGCTGTGCTGTCCTATACAGTAGCCACTGGCCACATTTGGCTTTTGAGTGCTTGAAATGTGGCTCGTCCGAATTGAGATGTACTGTGTGTGTAAAATACACACTGGGTTTAGAAACCTTGGTATGAAAAAAGGATGTAAAATATCTCATTAATAATTTTTTATATTGATGACATGTTGAAATTATAATCTTTTGGATATGATTGGATAAAAAAACTTTAAAAAAGAAAATAATTTAAATTAATTTTACCAGTTTGTTTTTACTTTTTTAATGTGCTTGTTCAAAAATCTGAAATGACATATGTGGCTCACGTGATGTCATTTCCATTTTAAAGAGGAAGAAATAAGCTTCAGGGGCTTCAGTGACCTGTGGTGCAAAGCCCAGGCCTCTCTCCCTAGGCTAATGGGGGAACCATAGGGTGTGTCATAGAGGTGGGCCAGGGCCAGAAGTGCAAATGGGGAAGACCCCTGTGGAGTGTGAATGGGTGGGCCGGTGTAGCAGCAAGGAAGAGGTGGTCACCAGTGGCCAGGAGAGCAGGGACAGAACTTGGAGTCAGGTGATGGAGGTGAGGAGCAGGGGATTGGATGAGGGAGATTTAGGAGGTAGAGTCCCAAAGACAATGTGTGGCTGTCCATGAGGGAGAGTGGCATCTGGACATGGCCCTGGGCAGAGAGTGGGGCCTCCATGTGGATTGGGAACCCTGGGGGCAGGCGGAGACACAGCAGCTTTGTGGGCCAGAAGCGGAGTGTTAAGAAGCAGGGAGATCTTGGGGTCGGAGCCCAGAAGAGAGGTGGAGAGTCTGTTTTGGGGCATCTTGACTTAAATTATGGGTTGAGACCGAGTGGCTGGAGGGGAGTGGGGTGCAGAGTGAGAGAGGAGGGCCCACTCTTCCCTCCCTTGGGCCCACGCCAGAGCAATTGAGCCCAAGGGAAGGACGAATGGCATGATGGGGGCCACTTGTAGTTGGTACAATGGCCATACAGTGCTCCCAACCCTGCCAGAGACCTTGGCTAACCCCTGCCGGGGATGGTGGCACAGGGGGTCTGGGACTGCAGGGGACTTGGGAAACGGGAGCTGGTTTTAGAATAATTGTCTCGAGGCAGCCAAGAATCCTTACTCCCTAAGTCCTTCTCCTTAATTTATTTTTTAATTTTAAACTCTTTTAAAACTGAAAGTAGCCTCCTTATGTTATAATCACAGCCTAAGATCTGACCCCAAATGGGATGTCCCAGCTGGATCCGAAACACCTCCAGCAAACTCAGCCTCATGGGACCCAGGACTAGGTCTAAATCCTTGTCCAGGGCAAGACTGCCTCCTGGAGGTGATGCAGGACACATTTGGGGCACCCCAGACAAGGCCAACTCTACTTGCTCCCACAGACCCCAGAGAGCACTCCCCAACAGACAGTCAAGGATGGCCCTCAAAGAGACCCAGGCAGGGCAGAGGGCCCAGGCCAGTGGCCATGGTATGCTGAGTCTATGCCCAGGTGGGCAGCACAGTTTCCCTTCAAAGCACCTCCTGGAAGAGATAGGTCCTGGGCTCCAGAATGTCTCCCTTCTCTGGGGTGGGACTCAAGAGGTGGGGTGGCTGTGAGGCCACAGCCCCTCTAGAGGTCCTTCTGCAGAGGACTTGGCCCCAATTCCATGGTTACCATCACAGCTGCTGCTGCGGAGGGCTGGGGGCTGGCCACAGACACCCACAAAGAACTCAAAAGTAGAACTGCTCCATAGGGTTTTTTTGGCTGTAATCTCTACGGAAGCAGATGCCCAGGGCTTTCTCCTACGGAACCACTGGGTTAGGTTCAAACCACCAATGGCACCCAGGGACCCAGCTGCTCTGGAAAATTGAAATTTAATTTCTTCTTCAAACAAGGTAAACAAAACAAAACAAAAACCCAAACCAGCTGCCATCTAGTTGATTCCGACTCATGGCGACCCCAAATAAGGTAGGCTTCCCCTTTCTTCTGCTTCAACAGCCCCTTTTATAACCCCCACCTTCACTGTAATGAACTGCTTAGTGCCTATGTCCCTCCCAGCATTCTGTCTTGACACTCCACTGTTGGCTCCCTAATGCCAAGAACAGTGGGAATATACATGCACAACTAGTATTTGTTGCATGAAGGAATGAATTTATTAATTAACATATGGGATGGATTTATGTGTGAGTGACTTTGGTGGCTGGGTGGGGGACGAGGGGAGATACTACATAAGCTGTAGCCAGGCCTGCCCGCCACAGCATGTGGCTGGAGGGAGAAGGCCATGTCCCCTCCAGCAGGCTGAGTGCTGATTTTAATGGCCTGGCAGTGAGGTGTGTGCACGGCGGGGGGCCTGAAGAAGAGGTAACACTGAGAGGGCAGCTCTGCCCACCTCTAATTATTGCTTGAGTCTTTCTGGCAGTGCCAGCTGCCTGCCCCAGGGAGCACAGGCTTGTCCATCACAGTGTGTGCTTAGGCAGGCTGCTGCTACTGCCACTGGGGAAGACAAGAGGATGCTGTCAGGGTCCTTTGGGTCTAGGAGAGTGGAGGCAGCCCTGGGGTTTGGACCCCTCAGCTCCTGTCCTTCTTGTCCCTCGGGCAGCTGAAGGGAGCCCCTGACTTGAAGGTCCCATCAAGAAGTCTCCAGGATGGCCAAGGAGCAAGGTGGCTTGAGGGGGTCCAGTGTACCCCCCTCCCCAGGCAGGGAGCCTCAGATGGTTTGGTGTCTGCTGACATGGAAGCCCTTGGGAAGATGGTGCCCTAATGGCCGATTGGACAGGTGGGTAGCTCAGGCCCGGAAGGAGGCCTTGACCACACGGCCCTTTAGTGGCTGTGGTGGCCGGAAGTTGTTCACCATGTGGATCCTCTCATCGTCCTCTGAGGTGAAAAGCAGGCTCCGGAACTTCTCCATCTTGAGGAGGCAGAGAGGGATGCTCAGGGTGGAATGGGGCATGCTGTGGTCCTCTCTGACCTCAGATGCATCATCTAGTATACCCTGCTCAGCCGGCTTTGCCCCTCCCTCCTCCTTCTCTTAAGGTTTGTCCTCACTCCTTCCCAGCCATGCTCCTCTTTGGGCCCCAAACCTCAGTTACCTACTCACTAAGAGGCCTCTGAATTGGGAGTCTGTTCCACCCAGTTTCAGTTCCAATTCGTTCTAAGACTTATCAGATCCTGGGTGGTCCCAGGATCCAGGGATCTCCCCTCCTGGCCTGTACCTAGATTCTAATGACGAAAAATCAAGTTGCCCCCCCAACAACCAAAGAATCTGAACATTCATTAGCAGTAGGTGGGGGCCTTGATGGTGGGACCTTAGGCTGTGGTTGGTGGTGGGAGAGTCACACCACCCCAGGGTGGGCCAAGTGCAGCTCCTTTCTGCCTGGCACTCTGGGAGCACCCACCTGCCTCTCAGAGACATAGATGGGCTCCCGGAGCACAATCCAGGTGACGCTCTCACTCAGCGGGGGTGTTGTCAGGGAGCCGGGGTAGGTCCAGTATTGCCGGTTGGTGGGCAGGAGGCACTTGGGGTTGAAGCAGCTGAACTGGGCCTTGGTGCCCTGTGGCAGGGTTGGGGGACCCGGGAATCAGCACAGACCTCCCACCAGGACCAGACCAGCAGCTTCCCCACCCATTTCTGTTGGCCAGATTTCAACCTCTCCTTGGTCCACTGATGCAAATCATGGGCAAATATTTGTGATCCCAGATGCCATCCTCCATCCTGAGCCGAACCCCCTCCACTTATTCGTTGTATGTAAAGGCTGCGACTCTTAGAGCTCGCTGGCCTCCATGTCCTCTCCCTTGTCCTCAGATGCCTGCTCCCTAAGCTCTGGGCACTGCCTGCCAGCCCCCCATTAATGGGACAAGCTACAATTAATCCTACACCCAGCCAGGCTACAGGCTGGGCACCTAAGGAGCCACTGACCTGGATGAAGAGGAGTCAGCCGTAGGGCACTGCAGGTGCTGACCTGCACCCTTCCTCTCAGCAAGGGTTTGCTGCCAGAATGCAGGAGTGGATGGGCCTGTTCTGTGATCTCTTCCTCCCTCCCCTGTTCTCACCTCCCTTGGTCTCACCTTAAACCGGACCATGTAGAGAGCGTCTGTCAGGCGGTTCATACTGGGGTGCTCATCCCCTGTCTGTGAAGAAGAGGGCAGTGTGAGCTCAACACCAACTGTGTTCCGGAACTGGGGGCAGTGCCAGGCCTCCTATGCCTCTGTTGGTTCCAGGTAGTGACCACTCACCTCCAAGAAGACACCAATCACGGCCAGGCCATCGGGTGCTGAGGCTGCCTCCCCAAAGGTGCTATACTTCTTGGCATTCCAATGAACCAGGTGCAGCTACAGGAGCAACAACAGGCCAAACCAGTGCTCAGCACCTCCAAGGGCAGTGGGGGCTCGGAGCCAGGCTTCTCTCACTCCCACCAGACGTCTGGCACCTTTGCACCTGAGGTCCTGGGGAGCCCAGGGGAGCCCAGGAGAGCCACACTAGGATCCACCCTGCTCTGGGCCCAACCCTTTCCTGAGCCTCAGGGGATTCAGAGGAATCTGGCTCAGACCCTGCCCTCCAATAAACTAGCTGTGAAATAGGTAATGGCCATGCAGGGTGACACCTCCCTGGGAGGTGGCGCCTGCAGGTGAGTCCAAAGAATAAGTAGGTGGTTATCAGATGGAGCCCTTGGGGAAAGGCATTCCAGAGAGAAAAGCAGAGGCAAAAGCTTTTTTTTTAGAGGTATAAAGGAGCCAGCTGTGGGCAGGGGATTCATCACATGTAGGTCTCTGCGGGGAGAGGTCAAGGGGAAGACGAGGCTGGGCAAGGCCATTTCATGCAGGGCCTTGAATGTCTGGCTCAGAAATGATTAATGGCAGAGAGTCCTTGAAGGATTGTCAGCAAGGGCGCTGTGGGACTGATTTCCCTTCAGAAATCTCCTTCAGGCACAAAGACCAGGAGAGCAGTAGGTAGAGTGGGATGAAGGGTCCTCTCTCCCAGGTCCCTGGGTGCTCTCCTCACCCGCTCCAGAGCCCCACACCAGGTACCCTTCATGCCCCTGACAGCCCAGTGCCCCACTCCTTTCCCAAGTAGCAGAGGATTCAGGAGGATGAGGGCCCTTACCTCACTGGGGAACGACTTGCCGTCCACCGTGTGCTCAGAGCCCACGTCGTGCTTCTTGCCCCAGTGGAAGTGGAACTGCTTGAGCCGGTAGGGCCCATCCAGGGGGCCCCCAGTCACCACTGAGGGCAGAAGTGGGGCAGGGTAGCATTGGTGTGAGAGCACCCACACGCCCAGCTGGCAGCAGCGCCAGGACGGGGGTAGCAACTCAGAAGGAATAAATTTTTCATTTGGTAAATGTGTTGGGCTGACTGGACTTGGGTCGGTCCCCACCCAGCCCCCTACGTTCTCAGGTGGCCCACGGAAGAGATTCTGGCAGCCTACAAGGGCACAAGTCTGGGACCCACAGAGAACACCTCTCCATCTGGCTGTCCTCCCCACTCCCGCCCAATTTCCCATGGAGGCTGGGCCTTCACCTCCCAGGTGCCCATTACCACTAACAGGCCTTCCATGTTGGGAGCCCTGACCCAGGGTTGGGTGCAAAGGATTATCTTGTTTAGTCTTCATAGTAGCCCAAGAGGACAGAAACACTTCAACCTCTGGTGGTGCAGTAGTTAAGAGCTTGTCTGCTAACCAAAAGGTCAGCTGTTTGAATCCACCTGCTGCTCCTTGGAAACCTTATGGGGCAGTTGTACTGTGTCCTACAGGGTCACTATGAGTCGGAATCAACTCGACAGCAACAGGTTTTTTTGTTGTTGTTCATAAAGGAGGAAACTGAGGCACAGAGAGGGCAAGGCATTTGCCCAAGTTCACACAGCAAGGCTCTGAGCTAGGATATGAGCCTGTGTCTCCTAAGTCCAAAGCCCATATCCCTAATCATTAGGCTGCACTGCCTCTACCAGAAAGTTGGAACAAATGGAATGGTGAGGAATAAATAGGCCTCCCAGGACCCAGTGTTACCCCAGAGGAGGAGGCTGCAGTGTTCCCACTCTCTTGGCCAGGTCCACGTCCCTCCAGTGCCCTCTCCTCCACCAATGACCTCTTTGGGAGGCCCCCACTTATGCTGGTTTTGTGACTTTCCCATCCCAATGCCCAGTGAGCTGAGGCCACATACAGGGCTGCCTTGGACTGATTGAATTTCCAGCTGAAAGGGATCTGGCCTGAGAGGGCACTCCAGTTTGGCCTGAACGTGAGCCCCTGGATCAGGTGACAGCCCTAGGCTCAGAGTTCCACTGGGGCCCTCTACCATGGGTGACCAGAGCAGGGCCTCATCCCCTGTGAGCCCCATGAGGAGGAGGACAAGGCAGCCCAGAGGCCCTCTTTGCTGCCCTGCCTTATCTGAGAAGCAAGGCCTGTCCAGGTGACAAAGGGAGTCTGGGGGTAGTGGCCCTGGGCAGGGCCCCAATCAAGCTGCTCCATCCTGGGGAGGCAGGAGCAGCTGGGCCTGGAGGGCAAACTCCTTCATTTAGCCTGTGGAGGCCTACCCCTCTGAGCACACCCCTCTGGGACCCTATAGTGAGGGCTCCCTGAGAGGGAACTCCCTCCTGGAACCCTTGAGCCCAGCTCCCTCAGCTTCCACCCTCTGTCCTCACCACAGGACAGGACTGTGCTGTCAATCAGTGTGCTCTCACAGTGTGTTCAGCACCCTGCCTGTATCAACCCATTTAACCCCCACAGCGACCCTGAGGGGGGCCACACCATTACTCCCACTGGACAGATGTGGGACTAGGGCCCGGGTAGGAGGGTATCCTGTCTGAGGCCACACAGCCAGTGAGAGGCGGAGCCCTAATTATCTCACCCCTGAGCCTCTTTCCACTGGCTCCCTGCCCCCTCAGGCCTGGGCATTCTGAATTGTTCTAGGCTGAATAATTAGTGGTGCAGATGCATGCCTCTTGGCCCTGCCCCCAACACAGTTGCCTTCACTGAGCTACTAATACCTGAGTTGAGTCCTCAGTGGCCACTCAGTGTTAGAAGGGACAGCCATCTGAAAACTGTTCCTTCATAAACCATCATGTAGAGTCATCTAGGACCCCATGTTTTCTCCCCAAAGCTCTGGATGAGAGGTCTTTCTTAGAATTCAGTACCAGGAAATGTTTTGTCTCTCTCCTGAGGATCTGTTGGACTTCCTCCCTCTTGCAGCAAGAACTAGAATTGATTCTCTTTCCTTTTTTTCCTAGCCTACTAGGGAACTCAGGTCTAAGTGATTTAGATCACCTTTATAATGAAAGTTCTGGCTTCCCCTCTTCTCCGCCTTTGGATTTTCTGTTTGAAACTTAGTGCTTTCAGTGTGTGTTTGATGGGGGATGGTGAGGAGCACAGTGACTTCCTTATACAAGAAGCTCTAGCAGGTTCCCTCCTTTCCCCACTCCATCCCCTCAAAGATTCAGTCACAAGGACAAAATCCCTTCATGTGGAGCACTCCTGAGGCCTCTGCCTAAGAATTTATCATGAAAGAACCTGGACTCTAATCCCAGGGCAAAGAGGCCTCAGAAGAAGCTGTTGTGAGTTCCCCCTGGCCTCTCTCTGGAACAACTTGGTTGGGACCTGGAGGTCATGGGCTTGTTGGGGAGACAGTTCTTTGGAGCTGGACCAGGCTGGTTTTGACAATCAATCCCCAGCTCCCTGAGCCTCCACTAGCCCATCTGAGAAGTGGGTTCTTGAGAGGAAAAAATGAACTGCCTGAGACCTTAGCCAGGGGTCTGGCACACAGACCATTCCCTTTGCTCTCTGCTGGGCCTGGCCACATTGCACAGAGAGGAAGGTTTGGCCTTTGACCACACAGGTCAGTGATGGGGCAGGGAGTGAAAACAAACCCAACCCTAAAGCACTAAAAGGAGGGGAAGGAAGGCAATTAGCAGTTCTTGAGCAATTGCTATATGCTGGCACCACAAACATCATTTCATTTTTCTTCTCCATGACCCTAGAGACTAGGTTATATTGCTCCCATTTTATGGATAAGGAGACTGAGCCTCAGCCCAAGACTTCACAGCTGGTAAGAGAGGAAGCTCCACCACTTCCCCACCATAGCATGCTGTACCCCCTGAGCTGTCCAACCAAGGTTATGATGGAGGGAATGTGGTGTGCCAGGTCCTGGCAGGGGTCACTCACCGGTGCGGTCATCGCTGTCATTAAAGTCCACTTGGACAGAGTGGCCATTGTTGGTGATGCTGAGGGAAGTGCAGGCCTCGTAGGAAAGCTCCAGTGGCTGCAGGCTGGGTGAGTACACAGCCTGGCTTGACACGATGTTGATGGGTGACTGGCGGTCGCCCTGGGCAATGGGATACAGCCTGTGCCACTGCGAGGGGCCTGCAGGTGGGGGGGTGGTGGAGGGCTCAGGCCAGCTCAGATCTCCAGGCTGCAGGCTGAGGGCACCCATGAGGGGTGGTCTCCCTGGCATCCTTTCAGAGGTAAACCCTGCTTTGGGGCTGTGCAGCCTGGAGCTTCAGTCCCAGCGCTGTCACCTCCCCTCTCAGCCTCCGTTTTTTTATTGTTTTATTGTGCTTTAGGTGAAAGTTTACAGCTCAAGTTAATTTCTCATTCAAAAATTTATATACGTATTGCTTTGTGACATTGGTTGTAGTCTCCACAATATGACAGCTCCCCCTTTCCACCCCAGGTTCCCTGTGCCCTTTCATCCAGTTCCTGTCCCTTCTTGCCTTCTTGCTTTTGGGCAGGAGCTGCTCAGCCTCATTTTCTTGTCTGTGAAATGGCCTCACTAAAACTCACCTCCCAGGGCTGTTAGTAGGACCAGAGAGGCAATGCATGGAAGGGAGCATAACACAGCTACAGGTTCAGGGGTGGTGCTGGGTAGTGAGTCCCCCCAGCACCCAACATACACTCAGGGAGGCCCCCAGTCCTCTGAAGTACCTGGCCTCTTCCTGCACCTGGAGAGCGTTAGTGTTGTGTTGGTGTTTGGGACAATAATAACACAATGGATTTGGGTTGTTTTTTTTTTTTTGTTATCATCATACACATACATACACACGCACGTATGCATACGTTTGCTCACACATGCGTGCCTCAAAGATTCCACAGGATCAGTCTGATTAGTCTTGGAGATGACTGTTTTGTCCTCAAAAATGCATGCAAGTATGTAAACTATCACTCTTCTTGCCAAGTAGGAATAATTCCATGTTAGGGCTCTCAAAAAAAGGTGGCCAAGAGCATTAAAAAAAAAAAACAAACTAATAACAAAAACTCATGTCAGCCTAGCTTTCACTCTGTCACATGCATTTGCTCACTGGCTCCTCACAACCACCCTGTGAAGCAGAAACTACCATGATCCTCATTTCACAGATGAGGGAACTGAGGGCCATGTATGTACATGTGTGGGTGTGCACGCGCATACACTTACGCATTGGTGTAAACACAGAGTGTGTGCATGTACTGCCCCCAGCTGCCCTCCCCAGGCACATGCCTACAGGTCCATAGAGATCTTCACATGGGCACACACGGGTGCACAGTGACCTGTGCTCACCAGGCCCAGCAACACGCATGTGTAGAAACACACACATGGCCCTACTGACCACATTTGTCACATGCATATGCACCCTCACACACAAACACCCCTTGTTGCAAACCCAGGTCTGCATGAAGGGCCCATAGCAAAAAACATGCCCGTACACACCCACACCTGCACACCCACGCCCACGGGCGCCCACCACCTGCCTCCCAGAGGCTCCATCTGCAGCCTAGAGGCTCAGCATCTCCCTGGGGGAACATCCTGAGATGCAGCCTATTTTTAGAGTCACTGCCGGCTGGTGCTTCTCCCCCTTTTTGGCTTCTTAAGTTTTCCTGGGAAAACAGTAGCAGGTGCCGACAGAGCAGTATCCCCAATGGATGACTCAGAACCGCGGCCCGGCCCCACTAGGTTATTTTTGAAGCCCTGTGAGCACTGCCACATGCTGGCACCTCTGTCCTCTGTCCTGCCTTTCCTCATTGCCCCTAGACTGGGCCACTCAGGTCGGCTGCAGCAGGGCCATGCAGGACACTGGATGTTGAGAGCTAGTGGGCAGGACTAACAAGGATGGCGAGAGTCAGGGTCTCCAGGGGCAGCACCTGGAGGCTGGCTCAGAGCTGTGCATCCAAGTGCAGGGGAAGGCAGGGTTGATCTTCTATGGGTTCTGTCAACCTGCTTCTTCTTTGCCTCTCTCCGTCTCTGCTGCAATTCTCTGAATGTCTTTTTCCTCTTTCCAGCTCCTGCATGCCCCGAAGATCTGGAGTTCCCTCCCTCAAATATGCTCCTGTGTCCTTGGGGTCCCAGAAGGGGCTAGAGTCTCCATAGCACCTCACTGACTCCCTCTGGCCCACTGCAAACTACTAACCCCCAGACTTCAGCCCAACCCCTCCTCACTGTCAGAGTAACTGCCTTTTTCCCAGAGAAAGAGGGGATGGGGGATGCTTCTCCCACTAACACTTTCCCTTCTTCCCACCCCCACCTGTACTGCCTAGGTTTCCAGGATTCTCCTATAAGCCTGGATCTTGGGTCCTTCGGGGAAAGAGGGAAAATGCCCCAGAACTGGGCCCTCCCCCACCTCACCGCCCTGCTTGGTGAGAGATAGCCCAAAATGGAGTTGAGCTGCCCGAGACTCACACTCAAGCCATCTGGCTCTCACCTTCTGCCTCTTCTCTCTTCCACTGCACCCTAAGGAAACTGAGGTAGGATCAGACGAGGAGGCCAATCTGGCCCACGGGTTCCCATGGCTCCCATGCGGACTTACTCAGATACTCTGCTCTGCGTGATCACTCACACACATGCATGCCCCTCAAGTGCCCCCTTCCCTCATCAGACAACACGGTGCTCAGACACTTCCGCGGGGGCAACTCTCTCCCGGGGACACTGCGCCCTTGTCCACGCAGAGTCCAGCTCCCCCGAGGTCCCCGCCACATGCCATGCGCGCTCCCCACACAGGCACCCGCGCACAGCGCTCGGCTCCGACCGCCCCCGGCGACCTGGGGCCACCTCCACCCAGCTGCGCACGCCCCGGGTGAGTGAGCGCGAGGGTCTGAACGAGCACGGCAGTCACGGGCTGCGCGGAGGAGGCGGCAGGACGCGCTCAGCCGCCTCGTCGCTCGCTCGCGGTGGTGCTACCCCGGCTCCGCGCGGACTTTGCGCCGAGCGCAGGGGAGCCAGGGCTTGGGCCGGGTAGGTGGGCCGGGCTCACGAGGCTGGACCGGAGTTGGGGGGGGGGTCCTGCTCAGGCCTGGAGGTGGGGGACTTGCAGGTCCAGTATCCCCAGCTGGGCGTGAGGATCCGGGGCGAGATCGAGAGGGTTAGTGTGGGCTGGGGTCTGCGCCTACCGTCTTCCTGGCCGTAGCCCCAGCCGTGGTGGCCGGTCATGCCGTTGCCGTCCCCGCAGCAGTGCACCTATCAGCTCAGCTCGGTTCCGCTCTCTCGGACTGCGGCTCCGGCCCCGCGTGCAGCGCCGAGCAGCTTCTTAAAGCGGCGGCGGGCGGGAGGAGCAGTTCCCAGGGGACCCGCCCCCCACCCCGCTCTGTGGGGCGAGAGAAGCCGGCCCTGCCCCGCCCCGCCAGGGTCAGGGCCGTTGAGCCGGGAGTCAAGATGGGCGGTCAGGGGTAGATAAGCCTCCCCCCACCACCTGGCCTGACGACTCTCCCTCCTTTCCCCAGCACGCGGATGGGCGCTGAGACGTGAACCACCGCCTCAGCGGCGTGCTGTGGGTGCTGTGGGCTGGCCCCTTTCCCCCATGCCCCCACCCCTTCCCAGGCTTGTCCCAGAGCCTTGGATCCCATCACCGGGAACCTGGGCTCTGGGCCCTAATGGCACCGACCACCAACGACCAGAGCTGGAGCTTTCCTTGTGTGCCAGGCACTCTGGCAGGTACCGGGCCTTCCTCTCCTTTAACAGCTCTCAGTTACCCTAAGACATTAGGTAGTTCAGAACTTCCTGGGGCCCAGAGAGGTGAAATTCCTTGTCCAAGGTCATCCAGTAAGGGAGTGAAGAATTCACACCCAGTCTGTCTCATCCAAATACTGTGCTCTTTACCATTTCCCCTTGAGTCTCAGTGTAAGGGGATCCAGTAAGTGTGGGGGTCTGGGAGCCCTGGGGTAGACGCATCTGGGCAGGACTAGTGGGGGAGAGTGGGGGCAATCCAAACCTCTTGCCCAGGTGGAACCCAGGCACCCAAAGCGGGAGTGGGGATGGGTGACATCAACCAGTGGGTATGGGAGCAGACAGACACCAGCTGACTTCCCCACAGAACCAGGTCTGAGGCCTGCTGCCCACTCTCCTCTCATTCTCTCCAACGTTTCTACTTTCTGTCAGGGACTCTGCCTATTCCTTTACAGCCTGATGTTTGTCCTTCTTCTCCTTGACCCCCCATGACCTTCAGCACGCCAGCAGGCGGCTCAAGCCCTCCATATTGCACTCCATCTCAGTGCCTGCCTTGGCCCAGCGTTTTCCCACCAGCGAGCCCTAGTCCTTCCCGCGTCCTCCACTTGGGACTTCTCTGCCTCCCACCCACTGGCTCCAACCAGCTCAATCTGATTCATCTTAGGATGTGGCCCTGTGCCAAGGACAGGGCTTGTCTTTGGCTAGGCCTCAGCAAGAAGTTTTTGGAAGACAGATGGGTGGATGGGTGGACGGGCAAAGGATGGCAGCTGGGACCTCGTATTCAGTAAGAGTAGAAGAGCCGGTCAGACTTTGACCAGGCTATTTCAGGGCCCTGCATGTGTTTGACCTTGTCAAGGAGTCTGGCTTTCTATCTGCCTTGCTGCCCCACATCTCTATGCCTGTCTTGGTCTCCCTCTTCCAGGCCCTGAACTTCAGGTCCCCAGACAGAGTTGTGGAGATTGACGACTGGTTGACTGGGCTGATGTCAGTGACTTCCCAGCCCTGCTGAGATGCCTCTCTCTGCTGGCTCAGAAGTGGGAAGGGACGCTTAATATAAATCTGACCCTGGGTTGGGGGCTAGGGACTCATGACAGAGATGCAGGGGGTGGCCCCCAAGACCAGCATGTGATAGACTACAACATGGTCAAGGCCCCAGGCCTCTAAGCCAGGAATGCCACCTTCAGACCACTAGCTACTCTTCTTCCGGAGGCGTCCCAACACTCTTAGGAGCTCACGAGCAGGCTCAAATGTGTCTACTCCATTGACTCATTTCTCCTCACAACGACCCAGGCCTTTTTGATATTTATTTATTGTATTTAAAAGAAGTAAAATTGGGATTATTCCTATAGTTTTGTGACCAGCTTCATCGACATAGCAACTCTGGGAGGGATTTTCACCCTATTTTACAGATGAGGACATTGAGGCTCAGAGAGGCCCTTGTTCAACATTGTTGTCTAAAATCATGGGGAGTGGAGGAAGTGGATTTTAATTTGATTCTCATTTGCATATATATGCAAGGACTCTCTCTGGAAAGAAGAACACAAGAGAAGCTAGTTAGACTTTTTGCCTCCAGGGAGGAGACCTGACCCAGACGGGTGGGGCAGGCAGGATGCAGAATAGGCGTGGGTGGGACACTCTTTACTGCCTGCTCCTTTGTACCCTTTGAAAGAATTAAAGTGTGTGTTACCTCTTTAGCAACCAAATAAAAGTTGATCCAGTTCTTTCCTTCCTGCAGCCTTTCTTCAGTTCTCCTGCTCCTGCTGCTCAGAACTCAGGCCGGTGAAAGGGGCACATGGAGTCTGCCCGATTGTCCTGGCAGCCCACTCCAGTCAACCTGGAAGAGTAGATGCCCCCATTCAGGCGCCCCCAGCCTCAATTACATGCTGTTTTAAACCTGAATTGATTAATCTGCTCTGATCTCTCTGGCATAAATGGTTCCTGTTTTTTGCTATTTATGGGGGAGAGTGTGGGGAGTGTGGGAGGAACGGTGAAGGGCCCAGGGAGGAGGCATGAGCAGTGTGCACAGCCACACCTCACTTGTCAAACGACCTTGGCCAGATCTCACTTCCCCTCTCTGAGGTACAGTGTCTGCTCTACAATGAGGTGACCATTCCTGCCCTGCCTACCTTATGGGAATCCCTGTGCACATTAGTTGAGACAAAAGATATGTAACTGCTGCACCAACAGGCAGAATCATGCCTCCCCCTCAGTGTGTATTAGGCACAAGGCCAGTGGGCCAGGCTAGAAGCCCTGTAGCCTGGAGACTCTAACATCAAAAATACAGTTCCCAGTATTTTTTAAACATTTCCATTCCAAGTATGTGCATATGTTCACGCAGAGGGATGGAATGGGCCTGGGCTGTGGACTCAGATAGAGCTGGGCTTGGCACTCAGCATCATGGGCTGTGTGACATGAAGCTAGCTGCTTAACCTCTCTGAGTTTTCACATCTTTAAGATGATGTCTTACTTGTCTAGTGCTGCTATAACAGAAATACCACAAGTGGGTGGCTTTAACAAACAAATTTATTTTCTCACAGTTTAGGAGGCTAGACGTCCAAATTCAGGGTGCCAGTTCTAGAGGAGGGCTTTCTCTCTCTGTTGGCTCTGGAGGATGGTCCTTGTCTCTTCTGAGCTTCTGCTCTTGGGCAATCTTTATGTGGCTTGGCACATCTTTCCTCATCTCTCATTTTCCTGCTTGCTTGTTTAATCTCTCATATCTCAAAAGAGATTGACTCAAGATATACCCTACACTAATTCTGTCTCATTAACATAACAAAGGCAAGCCATTCCCAAATGGAATCATAACCACAGGCATACAAAAAAAACCAAACCCATTGCCAACAAGTCGATTCCCACCCTACAGGACAGAGTAGAACTGCCCTGTAGGGTTTCCAAGGAGCTGCCTGTGGATTCAAACTGCTGATCTCTTGGTTAACAGCCATAGCTTTTAACCGCTGTGTCACCAGGGCTCCAACCACAGGCATAGAGGCCAGAATTTACAACACATCTTTTGGGGGGACACAAGTCAATCCATAACAGATGGGAGTAGAGAGTCTAGGGTGCTATTAGGAGAGTCCGGTGAGGTGATGTCCGTGAGGATCCTGATACCAACGACACATTCCTTAGACCCTAGAACTTTTGCTCTTTTTTTTTTTCCTTTCTCTTTTTGGTCACATTTAAAATCAAAAACATTCCTTTTCCAATTATTGTAGTGACTCCTATTCATTGTCAAACATTCGGAAGAATCAGAAAAGTGCAAAGAAGAAAATTAAAATCACTGGTCATGTCACTACACAAGGATCACCACTGTTGGCATTTTCAAGAATATCCTGCCACACTTTTTTGACATGTATTAGTAGTACTTAAACAAACAAATGAAACAAAAACAAGATCATACGTATAGCTCTGTGACCAATTTTTTTCACCCAATACCCTATGATAAGCATTTCCCCAGGCCATTAATCAGCCTCGGAGAACTTGACCCTGAATAATTGCACACCGTTCTGATATATGGGTTATTTCCAGTTTTTCACTACTGCAAATAGCAGCAGTAAACATCCTTATTTACACATCTTTGTATGTGTTTCTAATGATTTCCTTGGAATAAATTGATAGAAGTGGAATTACCAAATCAGTTGATATATATACATGGCCAGTAATACATTTCAAAATGTAGAAAGTACAACAAAAAGACAACCAGCCTGTAAAAATGGCGTGCTGGAAGCCTCTGACCTCCTCTAACTTCACAAGGGGGGAGGAGAATCAAGATCAACAGCCCAAGGCTAATTCCTAAGAGGCAGAGGTCAGACATGTCTCTACCCTCCAACCTTTTTACTGATTCTGATATCAACCATCCCTCCCACAGCACTCTACTTCTCTGCTGGGTTCAATAATTTGTTGCAATGGCCACACAGAACTCACAGACAATACTCACGATTATGGAGTTTATTAGGGAAGTAACAGGTTACAATTCAGGTACAGGAACACTCAGGATACAATTATTCAATCAGGACAGCCACTTCTCTGCCACGCCCACAAGCATGTCTCTTGCTGGACCCTCGGCCTCTGCCCTTCTTGGGCAAGTGTTACAAAACTCTTTTAGCCCTGTCAATAAGTGCATGGAGGCATCCAATTCCATCAGTAAGCCTTGGCCCGAAGGTGCTCAGCTCTCTCGCTCCATGGGTCGGGTGAGCTTAGCTCTGGCACCAAGTGCCCCAAGGCACCTCACTCCACTAAGAAACCTCCTGCCCAAAGGCACTCAGCTGTCTTGCTCCATAGGTCGGCATACCCACTGTAACCACCTTGCTCTATGGGCCAGGAAGCCCACCACTCCATCTCCTGCTAGTCTCTTGCCAGTCTCCTGGTTCTGCTGCCTCTGCTGCTGCTGTTTCTCGCCGTCTTGTGCTGTCTCAGCTGTTATAGCTCTCTCTCTCTCTCTCTCTCTCTCTCTGTCTCTCTGTCTCTCTGTCTCTCTCTCTCTCTCTGTCTTCTGGGTCTAGGAGGACCTCAGTGCAGGGACCCCGGGTCCTAAAGGATGTGTTCTGCTCCTGTCTCTTCTTCTTAGTGTTAGTCAGGCCCCCTCTCTGCTCTGGAATT